CGTGGAGGTTCGCAACATTGCTGTATATAAAGCTTATCTATGGTATGGTTGTATGTGGTGTTGCAGAATCGAATTTTATATTTCGTATGCTGTGAATGTTTTTGAATCGATCCATTTTTAAAACGAAACTCCATGTTTTGACTTCTAATACATTTCCTGAATAATGGCTTTACATAAGTCCCGTTTTTAGTTTTTAGCTTCACATCGATGCCTCTCAACGGGTATTTGGAAAGGAGGGTAATTTGATCCTCCCTAACCAAAGCTTTTCAAATAACCCATTTTATTTAAATCTGCAGAAGATGATGCTGCGGATCCGGATGGCAAAGAGGAAGTGAAGATTTTTCAACGACCTTTATTGTGCCGAAACAGCCATTCTTTGCTGTAACAACGAAAGCAGTCAAAGTTGGCCTTTTAAAAACGGCATTATTTACTGTGGCTACATAAGTTTCTTATCCATCGACAAAAGTTGATTTCAAAAAACCACTCGGGGATGACGCTTCTGTGCTTTAATACGACGGGATCTATAATGAAATGCCCCAAAAAAAGAGACCAGAATATTTCTATAGCCTTCATGTGAAGACTGTCACATCTTATCTCCTTTGATAATTTACGCATACGCGAACTCGAATAGATAACTGAGAATTGGAGGTGAGATAGTTTAGACGTCCTTTATTTGTATGACTCATTGTTTCTTGAAGGCAAAATATTTCATGAGGGATGAAATTGCCTGCTCGTATCTCATTGGAAAAGAATAACCGGTTACGCTGGCAGTTGTTTTATCAAGTGAAAGGTGTTAGGATGTTTTTTTTTGCGTGACGCTGCCTAATTTACATTCATCTTGGTTCTTTTATCTTTCCCACTAATTGGGCCTTAAAATTTTTTTTGAGGAATAAAGGCGCAATTTGAAGACTCACCCTATCCATAACTGATGCGATCCTTTAAAACCACTACTTCTTTGCTCCAAAAAATCCGCTTCGGTAATGCGAAACCCGGAAAAGGCCACTGGTCTCGTATCAATTAGTTCCAATGTTCCCATTACGATATTATTTCTCACGTTTTGACTCCTGAGGAAGCGAAGGTGGAAGGACCACCCTCTCCTTTCACTGCCGAGGAGAAGTTACGATAGGATGTGTTGACCTATTCTTCCTTACCTCTCCTCTAGTTACATCACTTGTCTGAATGTCCGTTTTTGTCTACCTTCCAGCTGTGGCGCAGTGAACACAGACGAATTCCAGACCGGGAGTATTCCTTCCCTTACTCTCAGTACCACTCCCATCATCAGCGTGATGACAGTGGGAAGCGCAGATTTGGCCGAGATGCGCTGCGTCACCCAAACGGTTTGTGTTGTGTTTGCTATCACTTGCATCTACTCTGCATTTATCTTGGATCTAGATTCCGTTACCTTGTCTTATTACAATTGATCTACGCTATCTTCGCAAGTACTTTACCAAACCACCAAAGTATATAACTGGATATCGCTTCTATAATAACGAATCATGCTTTATTTTTTTAAATTTTTTATTATTGCAATGAAAGAAATCAGGGCATGAAAAGTCGTCGAAATCAATGGTACTTTTATTGGTGCCTCAAGTAATAAGTCGTATTTTTCGACAGATTCGATACTTTAAGCTGTATATGCAGGTTAACGAGAAGTGAACCAAAGTTTTGCAAGCACTTTTGCAGCCAGTGTGGCACTGATCGTAATTTGTAGTTAAAACAGTGGAACTATCCCACTAGTCCCTTCTTTTCTCCATGCACCGTTGAGAAGTATTTGTCAATCTCCCATGAGATATATTCCAGGCACACAAAATTAATCACAACTGTTATAATATACACTGACTATACAACCTGACCTTGCTGGTAGGACCTTTTAATCAATAGGTCCTACTGTAAAAATGGGCTCGGAAAAGCATAAGAAGAGGTCGGTGAGCAAAATTGTAGGGTGGAACCGTAGTCAATGTTGGCTTGGAGAGAAATATTAGGTGAAAGTTGGTCATGGAACACTAATCTTAAGTCCTTATGAAATTGACCACCCATAGTGTTGCCAAGCCTCACATAGGAGTTGCATACCGCTGAGGCTCATGGATACAGGCAGTGTCAAGTGTCTACTGCACGCAATCAGATGAGACTCCCCTGACATCTCCTGTGGAATCGTGAACGTTGGTATGCAATGCGTTTTCGACCAAATTTAAGTGCGTTGGCTGACAGTCTTTTCTCAGGTTGGATAGTCGAAACTTAAAACGGTAAAGATGGCAACTACCACACTGCTTCTCCACTTTATGAGCAAAATTGTGGGGTGGAACCGTAATCAATGTTGGTTTGGATAGAAATATTAGGTGAGAATTGGTCATGGAACACTAATTTTGTTACAGAACGAACGTTATCTGCTGTGAGGAAAGAAGTGCACTCTGAAAGATCATAACATTAATTAGCCTCTTCCGTATATAATGCCGCCCATAACGGGTGCTCTCACCTATTCAGTCTAATCGCTCAGAGAGTGTGAAGGCCGAGGAGGAAGCAATTAAGGTGGAACCCATCATACTTACGGCAGTGCGGCAGGACCAATTCCTTTTAAGAACGTTGCGAATTTCGAAAGGACTCTTAAAACTAATAGATTATGTTTCTGCTCCATCTCCCACTAATGATGGGGAACACTTCGGAGTTAGAAGTGTCAAGAGCTCATTATGATAGTATTTATAGATCTATTGGATGCATCGCATCGTTGTCCTTCATATTTCAATGGCAATAGTCGTACCTTCGGGTGAAAGACTGCATTTCCTCGTCGATGACGAGTTGAGCTAAGGTGGTGCAGCACTATTTTAACTCAGTGTTCTTAATTACGTCTTCCCCTAAGATAGACAAGTGCATTGGTTCCAAAGCACCCTCTGACTTTGGAGGTAGAACCACTGCTCAAATATGGAATTGTAGCAAATTCGAGGTCCGTGCCGTCCTTGAAAGAGACCAGCTCCGCCAGCGGTGCCACCAGTGTGATAGGCTCAGCTTTGATCTATTTTGAACATCAGCCTTCATGTGCTTGGAGCGTGCAGACCCTTTTATATGAGGAAATCTGTACTGGGTCACTGTTCGAGGAGAGTGGATTGCGTTTCCTGCTCGGGGAGTGATGGCACCCGCTTGGTCGCAGCCATCGCACGTACTGGTCATTTCTTGCCTAAAAGCTTCGAATGACTACCGCTCTAATTAATGTTCTCCAAACATATTATTACCAGTAAAGAATGTCTCAATCAGATCAGTCTACTTGTTCTAAGTTGTTGAAGTCTAAGGCGGAAGAGGTGATAGCCGAACACATTACTCTGAGTGGCAGGGAAGACACAGCTGCACGGCACAAAATCACGTTTTTCTATCATTCATCTGTCTATTTTACTAATTCTCCAGGACATCAATCTAAGTGCACACATCTGCCTATGTATACGTCCATTTTTTTAAGCATCAAATAGCTGCATTTTACAATTTTTTCATTCAATAAATCATTTCCTTGCATTTATTTTTTAGCATTTCCTTATCTGTCCCTGTCTCGCTATTTAGACTCCTAGTCAGCCCACCTGCATATTAAGAATGCTGGAAATTCAAACTAGAAACCGCCTTAGCTGTGCGTGCATTTGGATAATTTCTCGAAATGAGTCAATTACCGGGGCATTTTTAGAGGTAGAATGTTTAGCACATTTCCTACGGCTCCGCCTCCGTTTCGATACCCACATCCTACTCGACTTCCTACTCTTCCTTATCCGACTCGATCTCCTCATCCACCTCTACTTAATCTGTCGCCGATCGGGTGGCTAATAGTTTCAATGGCAACAGTGGAGACACCGTGATTAGGTTTGACGATGACAAGTGTGTACTCTATGTGGGACAATGACAAAAGTCACTCACTTGTCTGCTTATTAATATCCGAGCACCAACTCACACTTATTAGGAGGAATCGATGTTTAGGGTGCCATCTTTAGAAGCACAATGTGAAGTCTCGAAAGAGGTAGTCGAATGTACTTAGACACTAAGGACCGTTCGACCTAAAAACGAAAGCCTTTAATTCCACTCAAACCAATATTCGAATATAAAAGCGACATTATTTATTATCCCTTTAGAATATTTTTAGTTTACGTTGTTGAAAATATTAATTACTTGATGATGTTTCCCACACAAATGTTTTGGAGTTTTTCTTAAACGATACTTAAATCCATTTAAATTTATAACAATCCATGAAGAACAAATAAAAAATTCAATCATGCAAACAAAATATGTTCATAAGCATAGCAGTGTTCCTGAAAACAGGCATATTTTTACAGCCTATTAACGAAAAGTGTACAGTTAACGTCAAACCTCTTCCAAGTAAAAAATTTACACTCTTATTTCTTCTTACGAGACAAAAAATCCTGAATTCTGCGTTTGTTACGGACACAGTTATTGCATATGTATTGAGTACAAATATTAAATGTAAATTCGTTTAGATGTGTCTGGGTGATATTACTTTAACGAGTGTTTGAGCCGGTGATTTGGGTTTGCAGAATTCCGACTGCATCGCAAGTTTAACTTTATTCCTTTTTCAGCTGCATATTCTAATAATGTCTTCAGAGACGGTTATTCCCCCCTTTGCTAATTCTTGTACAATTAGCTTTCGATTTCGGGGTTGCGATAACATTCTTGTGTCGGCGAACATTTTTCACCATCCCTTTCGTTCAGATATCCTTCACTTGTTCAAAGATGACACTTGTCGGATTTTGCCTCATAACTCTCTTCTCTTCGTTGACTCACTACCAGCAAGTGACTTTCCTACTATAGCTTACCGTGCCCATTTTTCCAAGTACTGGATAGAATACGCAGAAGTCTACGATGAATCTTTGTACTTTTTGAGCCTTAGACCTCGATTTGATTGTTCTACTTTGTTAAAAAAAGCAAATTTATTAGTGATTGACTTCACTCGAAGGAATTGGGATTTGATAGAGCTGGGTACCTTAGAGAAGCAAAGGTCCGACATGGTTGTGGCATGCAGTTCCACCAGAGATGCAGAGCCAATGATGCTTGGATGAGGATTTTAGTGATATCGACGCCCACTCTGCACCCCAAGCACACAGAAATGTCCATGTGTTGTACGTCGACTCCGAGTCGTGACGGTGATTGGCTTTTTGGATTAATGTACACGTCGACATGTACGACGCATGGCCATCACACTGGAAATTTCGTTTCCAAAGTCAGATAGGCAACATGATACTTTGTGTCAGACATGGAATCTTCTAGAGCTTCAATGCACAGGCGTTTGCCGGCCTCACGGCTCCCTGTGAATCTCACACCTAGCAATCATTAGAGGATCCCTTGCTGCTCAATATAATTGGATGAATGGTAGGTGCTCCTGCTTGTTTGCATGATTACTAATTAGAGCAAACTCCTATTGTAAAGTTGGTTCTCAATTATCTTCCTGTCTATGTTTCATTTTCACTAGCTAACTTTATTATGGCACCGCTTCAGGTGTTGAATTTCTTCGTTCCTGATTGATGGAGATATTGTAGATACTCTCATTATTGATAGGGGACGGGACTTGCCGAAACATCACATTGCAACTTTCTTAATTTGTATTGCATTCACGCACTGCTGCATGAATAGCCAAGTACTTTATAAGCCGGAATATTTGTGTGGAAAGGGAGCGACGGTAAACAACAACAACAACAAAAGGGTCATGTTTGCGAATGTATACTTCTGTGATTCATGGTACTATCAACATGGACACGATCAAATAGATGCTGCTTTTGTCGTATTTTGACACATAAAAATAGTGGTCATTTTGAGGACGTAGCAAAGCGAATCTGCGAGATTGCTGCAACTCTCTTGAAAATCAAATTGTTGGAGGGTATGAAGATGTGAGCAACTAATCTTTCGAAAGCTTTCCTGAGTCCCGTTAAATCAGTGCTTTTATTTAACTTGTGTAGTCAAGCTGAAATATTTGACTTGTCCCATAATCCCCGTAAAAGAAATTATTGGATGCCCCGGGTCATTTCCTTTTCAAAAATTTTATTGTAGATGGATATCTTACCCATCATTGATCATGTCGCTGCGAGTTGCTTGGATGATGGCTGCACGGTTGAAAAGGCATTATTATGTGATGTTTCGGCTAGCTGACCAACTATAGAATGATTCCAGTTTAGCGGTTGCACCGACACAGCTCTCTCTTCTATGTTTTTCATTCAACTTGACCCATGTCATCAACCAGCTGATCAACTAAAGTCGAGGTTTCGTTTACGTTTGAACTGACTCAGCGATGCTCTCACTTTCCAGACCGCGCCTAACTTCACTAACGCAAAGCAACATCGCCTTTAAGCCACTTATTACTTGTTTAAATCTTTTCAATGCACTGTTGGAACACCAAGCGAGGAAAATTGAAGAGGATTTGTAATTGCATTGCAGGCACGCCGAGATAACAGTAAAGGCCTTCTGCGGCCGTTTTGGGCCCTTCTTCCTTTTCAGTAGCTTGTTATCTAAAAGCGAATGGTTGTAATTTGCGATTATTTGATGGATGTATCAGTACTCGTCCTGTCCTAACTCCATAAAATATTTCTTAGTCATGTTGTTTCCTTATGGAGATTCTGAAAAGTCAACCATGATGATTGTCTTTACATTCACGTCGACCGATCTGTACAGAGGATGAGAAGCTAGGAAATCGAAAGGGCATGTGATGAGCAGAAAAAGGATGAGTTGAAGGAGGTTTGAGAACTTACCAGATTACAAATTTGCCAATCTTCCCCTAATCAAAAGATGTTTGCTCTGGTTGGAGTTTTTTCAAGTCTGATCAGACTCAAAGGGAAAGGTGGCATCTGATGAAAATTTGTGACTCATAGCAAGGTGCGTGACTGCATATGTGCATGTCGGAAGAAATAACAGAGGCTAGACACTCGCCCACTACATCTAGAAAGCGAAATTCCTTAAGCATGGTACAAATTCCAGAAGATTACAATCATACAAAATGACATCAAATGTGGATGAAAGGATGGTTTGATAGGGAATTGTACTGCCTCGGAGTGCATAATGTGACTGAAAGCAGAACCCACTATAGTTGCTAGGCCTATGCCGCTACCTTGAATGCACCACAATTTTCATCAACACACTGCCTGGTGTAAACGCTACATCTGCTCTTGACTAATTGCTGTTCATTAAAGTAGTATCTGACTGTACTGTTACAAGACGTGCTGAATGCTATGAAAAAG